AGAGAGAGATATTAAGGTCCGGACTAATTGCTGGCCTCCTCAATAAGGCGAGATTTTCAATGCGTGAAATGACATCGTAGACCTAAAATCTGCAATATCAAATACTCTCTATGAACGATTTACAAATGGTATAAGTTCGCTTTCATAGAGATTCGTATAAATCTGCAAATCTTTCCATCTTGGTAAGTAGCAAATAGAAGTTGTTTGCATGTACATATATAGTTCGTGACAGATTTAAGTCGGAATTTTTATGACATATATATTGCCCCTCTGTCGATTTATTTTTAAACATTGTCTAAATTTAGCTCGTTACACCTGGTACAGCAGTAGGCCTCCTGACGGCAATAAACTTCTGCTTCGCTTAAATTATCCTGTCTCGTAAATTTCACAACTTTGGGAACAAAAAAATATCACACTGAGCCAAATCTGGAGAATATGGTGGATATGGCAGCAATTCGTAGCCTACTTCAACCAGTTTGGCCATGGCGACGACGGAGGTGTGAACCAGTACGCTGGCATTATTGAACGTATTCCTCGTGACAGCTGAGCCTATCGAACAGAAAATAATCACAATTCGGTAATTGTTAAACGGTATTTGCATTTTTTGGTTCATTGGTTTTGATCTCCTTTGCCAGGTCTTTATGATTTCTTTATACTCGGCTATACTATAAATTATGACAATCAAAGACCACGCCCAAATCGCCGTTATTCGTGAAGTTATATATAAATTTGCTAAAGAGAATCACAGCTGAAAAGGTATTAACAGTTTTTAAAGAATGGGCCCTCTATAAATCTCACATCTCAGCAAAAACACGGGAACCAAATACGGTTCTTAACATCATCTTGCCTACTCATATCTCCCATATAACATAATATAACTTTATAAAATATAAATCAAGTAGCAGTAAAAATATCGGCAGAAAATAAAATCGTGTGCTTTTATTTCTAATATGAGTCAACTCTCAACTGAAATTGGTTGAAATCTAACTAGACTAGTCTCAGATACCTTATCTGAGGCCCTCAGTATATAGGCCTGATTTTACAAAATATCTGTAAGATATGTAATGAAATTAAGAGTACATTTTACCCAAATATTGTGATCTGTTGTCTAAAATATATAAAATCGGTTCAGTACTTAACCTAGCCCCCATACGCCTGATATAATGGTTTTCGTTAGTCTGGTTGACTTTATCTCATATGCATACATATCGGTAAGTATGTAAGCTATCTTAACAAAATAAAATGAGCGCCTTAACTTAGACAAACACTTTAATATCGATAAGCAGTGAATTGGTTCACGATATACCATCGTTTCGTCGAATAACGAATTTTGAATTCATTTAAAACATTTATTAATATAAAATTTTGCTAACGCTCTAAATATGTTTTCGCCTTTGGTTTATAAGAATTGTGAGAGTGCAGCCCCTCGAACCTAGTCCTACTTTACTTGTTATTGTTTTAAAGTTTTGTGATGAGCCAACATACGTAGAATCAACCAATCTTGAACTCGTTGTGGTAAAATCTGCAAAGACAGCAAAAATAATAATAATTTTAAATTATTTCAGATTCCTATTTGCTTTAAAATGTTGTAATTATTTACGCTAAGAGGCGATACATGAGTGCAAGGAAACTCGGTATTATAATTTCCACTTCACCACATAACATTCCCGATACAGCTCTCTGCGCTACTTCTTCACTTTCTAGTAATGGATATACAGTACCGAAGCCTTCATCTTTGGACAACTGGATAACCTTAGCGTTGGTTGCAATAAAAAGGAAATACGGTATAAGATGAATATAACGCAGTCCCTCAACTATTAGTTCGGCCCGCATTGCTCGCATCAGGGTGCGCACAGCGAATTTAGCACTACTATACGGTTCGCTCTGTGGCAATACCTGTAGACTTTGATATAAATATAAATCAAATCATATGCGATTTTTTTTATTTGAAAGTTCTTGTAACTTACCGGCTACAGAGCATATGGCCATAATATACCCTTTCTTGGCACGCCTCATATTCTCCATGAACACACGATTTGTCTGGAAAAAATGTTCAATATTTATGATATTTTTATCTACTTTGATATTTCGACGACATTTTGTTAAATTCTTCATTAACTCACCCAGAAATGTGAAGTATAATTAACATTTATCATCGCTTGAATTTCTTCGACTGTGGGCTTTATCCTATCCGCATGGAACAACAACCCCGCATTATTCACGAGTATAGTGGCGGCACCTATGTCATTTGTTAGTTTGCCATTGAGTTCACAATTCATCGTATTTGTGACGTCCACCTGTAATATGAGACATTATTCAACTAATTGAGATGTTTGAATTAAGCCCTCAATTCACTAACCTTATAAGCTTTTGCTTTGACACCATATTTTTCGGCTATTTCTCGCGCTGTCGTCACAGCCAAATCGAAATTAATATCACATATAGCGACATGACATCCCCTGGCGGCCAATTCTATAGCGATACATTTGCCCAGTCCACCTGCCGCACCGGTGACCTTGAATGGATTTAAAAGAGAGGATGATTGGTATGTGTATGCTAGAAAAAACAACCGCAGAATGCAACATTCCTGAAAAATTCGATGCATTCCGGATGCATTTCAAAAACCATTCAAAATCTTTGTAAAATTCGTCTTCAAACTTGAAACTTTCTATTCTTAGTTTAGACGGTTTGACGTCAGTAAGAGGTAGCGGAGGGGCGCGGTCGATTTTTTAAGGGTCAAAAACGGCTTATGTCGATCATGTTTTAGTTGTATGGAAAAGTTGTAGATAATGAAGTTGTAAATAATGAAAATATCTACAACTTTTGTATGAATACCTTTTTCGCATAACTTCATAATTTCTGTGCAAAATTCAAATTTCTAAGTTTTTGGTTTTTTAAATTTTTCTTGTGCAAAAAAAAAAAAAATTTTTTTTGACGAAAGTTGGTTTAAACTTGCCTACTTATTCTCAAGTAAATTGTATTTTTTATATTTAAAATAAGAGGGAGGAAACTTTCTTTAGATTTTTAATCAGCTTTGAATCGTTTAGTGTTTTTTTTTGCAATTTTTGGAGAAAATTTACCACAGTAATGTGTATACTTTTGACACCATCAGAAAGTGGAGATTTCAACACACATAAGGCATACGAACTTTTTAAGAAAATCTGATATTTTGACGTGACTTGAATTCTTGACTGGTACTACAGTGTTGCATTTGTAGCCAATACAGGGCAATTGGAATAATCTCCAATTCATTCAACTACATCGCTATTATAGATTACATTAAAAATTGGTATAAAATATTTCAAATTAATGCGATAAAATTTTAAAATTTTACAAATTTTATCTATAGTAAACATATTTGCTCAAATTATTCGAAATCCTATCTTATGGTGATTTATAGGTTGCATTCATTTCTCATTGTCAGCTTTTCAAAACAAAGAAAGGCGTCTGAACTTTGCATTTCATTTAGCAAATGCTTGCCATATATGAGACGAATTGCTATTAAATTGCAAATTGCAAAGTAAACAATTAAAATTATAAATCTGTAACGCCGAGTGCTTTCCTAAACGGTTGCTCTCTATTGAAAAAATTAGTATGCAATCGTGTATTGTTAATGAATCGACGCGTAATCCCATTAAGCTATGACTATGTTTGTCTGTATTTCGAAAACAAAAAAATATTGCAACTGGTGCATTGCCACTACGATAGCTTTGCTATTGAATTAATTCATAACATTGACCGTGAATCTTCTGAAGGTCTTGTGTTTTTTTCCGCAAGTGGAAGTAAAATCAATAGATAAGTCTTTAGAAGATAACTGGTATAAAAACAAGTTCTATTTTTTAAGTCTTTTTGTTTTGCTTTTTGTGTTTTTGTTATTTTTTAGCAGTTTGGATAACGATATAGTAAGAGCGAAAGCGAATAAACATATTTATGTGCTTGGAGATAACTTTTGGACTCGCTAGTGTTAAAATTGTGTTTATGTGCGTATAATATTATAAACTCAAATATTATTTATATAAAGGGTGGCTCATAAGTGGTTTATATTTTCAATTCAAAAATTTATTTATGGGATACTTATTTTACAAAGTGTGTAACCGAACTTTATATATAAATCATTAACCGATTTGTAGAATTGAAAAGTGTACATTCATTATATTTAAATTTTTAGGAAAACAAAAAACCAATTTTGTGTTCCTTATATCGGAAAAAAACATTGAGACGCACGAATTGAATAAAAAATTGTACGGTGGTGATTGTATGCGTCGTACTAAGTTTACACGTGGTTCACACGATTTAATAGCCGTTAGGATTTAAATGACCAACAGTTGTGTCGTCCAGAAGCTAGTAATAGTGCTGATTTGATGAAGAAAGTCCGTGAGATTTTTCTACGAGAATGTTGGTTGAAGTATTAAATGCGAGTAAAAACACTTTTTGGAGAAATTCAACTCAAGATTTGGGTAAAAGAAAGATCTGTGAGCGTTTAGTTCCTCATGAATTAAATGAAAACCATAAAAGTGAAAAAATGTTTGATAAAAAAAATTTCTTAATTTTTTATCTAAAAAGTTTGGTTATTTTTAGGACACACCTTGTATTTGAAAAACTGAATAATTATATCACTCATAGAAAACTACTTCATTACAAAAGTTGCTAGAGTAACAGTTTTCTAGCTCTATTTGAAAAGTATTATATGAATGAAAGAAAGTCAATGTATGTGCTACCCTGTATGTAAGTTCGTTTAAAACATAGCAAAACTAAATCAGAATCAGAAAAACATAACAATTATTTCGGTTTTACGCTGTCTTAAACATAATAAACACTAAATAATAATTTTACACACCCAAGGTTTGACGATCAGTTTATGATAATTTTTAACCTTATTTATATGATAATTGACTAAATTAGTAATTAAACTAAATTCAAATCAATTAATGAGTTCATTGGTGTAGGCAATTTACTAATGGACTCAACTAAGACGTATAAAAAACATAGAATACATATTTAAATCAATTAATTTGTTTATTGTTGTAGCAATTTTGTTAATTGACTTAATTAAGTCTTTTAATGAGCACTCAATTAAGTCGTATAATGAAACCAAAAAGTGAACTCGCCAAGAAATCTCATATTTCAGCAACTACACGAAAATTTGCAACCCAATTTTGTTCTTTACAGTATCTTGCCTACTTCTCTGCTGTAACGCAATACTAACTTCCATCAGATTCTTTCAATTATAATACATAAATCAAGCACCAATAAAGATAGCGGAATAAAACAATTGCTTAAATAATGTCACAATATATTAAATAGTATCACAATATATAATATAAAACGAATAAATATTTAAATTAATTAATTGATTCATAGTTGTAGTCAATTTGTTAATTAACTTAATTAAAACAAAGCGTAAGAATGGAAAAGTAAAATTTTTTTAAAGTAATTTAAATTAGTAATATAGTAACGACGTTTCATTTCTTTTACCACAACTTCATAATCTAACATACAAGTAGTCCCTATGATCTAAAACTGCATGATTTTTAAAGACTGAACCCTAGTGAGTGTTCTTAGCTTAGCATTCCAAAAATGACATTCAACTCAATTTAAAATATCACTTAATGGGTCTACCTTTTTAATTAAATAGTTTTTCAATGCCATTAATAGGAGCAACATAAACACTTCTAAGCATAAGTCATTGGCTTATATTTTATGAAATATTCTTTTCTGCTTATGTGATCCTTTATAAAAAATTAATCTAGAGTTAATTATGCGATTAGTAGTATAGAACAAATTTTTAGTCACACAAAATTTTTAGTCATACGTACTTAAATATTGTATATAAATAACTTTCAATAAAATATTTACCACAGCCACTTCGCCGGTAATATCTTTGCACACTTTACTTCTCACAAAATTATCGTAGAGATATATTAACACCGAAATTAACAGAATGGTCGGCATAAATAGCGTTAAGAGGGCGACCACTGACCAGGCGCGTAATTTTTTGAATGCATCAGTCGCCATTCGTAATGCAAGTATTTCGTTAAATATTTGTTATCAAATAAATATTTGTGCAGTAAATAAAGAAGAAAACCGTTGCGTTCTGCGCTACCGCTGAAATAGTACTGAGCCACTAAATGCAAGCTGTTGTCAGCAAGTAACTGTTGTTGTGTTCAAAAATTATTACCATTTTTAATCATTATTCATTTAAAGGTGCTTTTTATATGCACATAAATATTATGCGGCAGAGCGATTAATTACCTCAGTGATATTTTTGTACATCCTGTTCGGTATTATGTTTCCGAACTTTGACTTGTTCGATTTCGATGTTGAAAGTCAATAAACAAAATAATTACAGAATTATGAATTATTTTATTTATAACTCAATTATAATTAATTGTAAAAATTTCTTCAACAAAAGTTGATAGCTCTGTAAAGCAAAGGTAGGGCGAAAAAATTATTTAAATAAAAGTATGATTTATATTCGAAGTTCCTGTAAGGGATTAGATTTGTAAGATATATAATCTCTTTTTTTTACGAGCAATTGTAATTGTAAAGCATGGAATTGAGTACATTTTTTTACACTGCTCTCCTCTTCCAATGAGTATGCCGCAAAGTTCCCCGATTGGATTAAGGTCCGGACTAATTGCTGGCCTCCTCAATAAGGCGAGATTTTTCAATGCGTGAAATGACATCGTAGACCTAGAAAATCTGCAATATCAAATACTCTCTATGAAACGATTTACAAATGGTATAAGTTCGCTTTCATAGAGATTCGTATAAATCTGCAAATCTTTCCATCTTGGTAAGTAGCAAATAGAAGTTGTTTGCATGTACATATATAGTTCGTGACAGATTTAAGTCGGAATTTTTTATGACATATATATTGCCCCCTCTGTCGATTTATTTTTAAACATTGTCTAAATTTAGCTCGTTACACCTGGTACAGCAGTAGGCCTCCCTGACGGCAATAAACTTCTGCTTCGCTTAAATTATCCTGTCTCGTAAATTTCACAACTTTGGGAACAAAAAAAAAAAAAATATCACACTGAGCCAAATCTGGAGAATATGGTGGATATGGCAGCAATTCGTAGCCTACTTCAACCAGTTTGGCCATGGCGACGACGGAGGTGTGAACCAGTACGCTGGCATTATTGAACGTATTCCTCGTGACAGCTGAGCCTATCGAACAGAAAATAATCACAATTCGGTAATTGTTAAACGGTATTTGCATTATTTTGGTTCATTGGTTTTGATCTCCTTTGCCAGGTCTTTTATGATTTCTTTATACTCGGCTATACTATAAATTATGACAATCAAAGACCACGCCCCAAATCGCCGTTATTCGTGAAGTTATATATAAAATTTGCTAAAGAGAATCACAGCTGGAAAAGGTATTAACAGTTTTTAAAGAATGGGCCCCTCTATAAATCTCACATCTCAGCAAAAACACGGGAAACCAAATACGGTTCTTAACATCATCTTGCCTACTCATATCTCCCATATAACATAATATAACTTTATAAAATATAAATCAAGTAGCAGTAAAAATATCGGCAGAAAATAAAATCGTGTGCTTTTATTTCTAATATGAGTCAACTCTCAACTGAAATTGGTTGAAATCTAACTAGACTAGTCTCAGATACCTTATCTGAGGCCCTCAGTATATAGGCCTGATTTTACAAAATATCTGTAAGATATGTAATGAAATTAAGAGTACATTTTTACCCAAAAATATTGTGATCTGTTGTCTAAAATATATAAAATCGGTTCAGTACTTAACCTAGCCCCCATACGCCTGATATAATGGTTTTCGTTAGTCTGGTTGACTTTATCTCATATGCATACATATCGGTAAGTATGTAAGCTATCTTAACAAAATAAAATGAGCGCCTTAACTTAGACAAACACTTTAATATCGATAAGCAGTGAAATTGGTTCACGATATACCATCGTTTCGTCGAATAACGAATTTTGAATTCATTTAAAACATTTATTAATATAAAATTTTGCTAACGCTCTAAATATGTTTTCGCCTTTGGTTTATAAGAATTGTGAGAGTGCAGCCCCTCGAACCTAGTCCTACTTTACTTGTTATTGTTTTAAAGTTTTTGTGATGAGCCAACATACGTAGAATTCAACCAATCTTGAACTCGTTGTGGTAAAAATCTGCAAAGACAGCAAAAATAATAATAATTTTAAATTATTTCAGATTCCTATTTGCTTTTAAAATGTTGTAATTATTTACGCTAAGAGGCGATACATGAGTGCAAGGAAACTCGGTATTATAATTTCCACTTCACCACATAACATTCCCGATACAGCTCTCTGCGCTACTTCTTCACTTTCTAGTAATGGATATACAGTACCGAAGCCTTCATCTTTGGACAACTGGATAACCTTAGCGTTGGTTGCAATAAAAAAAGGAAATACGGTAGTAAGATGAATATAACGCAGTCCCTCAACTATTAGTTCGGCCCGCATTGCTCGCATCAGGGTGCGCACAGCGAATTTAGCACTACTATACGGTTCGCTCTGTGGCAATACCTGTAGACCTTGATATAAATATAAATCAAATCATATGCGATTTTTTTTTATTTGAAAGTTCTTGTAACTTACCGGCTACAGAGCATATGGCCATAATATACCCTTTCTTGGCACGCCTCATATTCTCCATGAACACACGATTTGTCTGGAAAAAATGTTCAATATTTATGATATTTTTATCTACTTTGATATTTCGACGACATTTTGTTAAATTCTTCATTAACTCACCCAGAAATGTGAAGTATAATTAACATTTATCATCGCTTGAATTTCTTCGACTGTGGGCTTTATCCTATCCGCATGGAACAACAACCCCGCATTATTCACGAGTATAGTGGCGGCACCTATGTCATTTGTTAGTTTGCCATTGAGTTTCACAATGTCATCGTATTTGCTGACGTCCACCTGTAATATGAGACATTATTCAACTAATTGAGATGTTTGAATTAAGCCCTCAATTCACTAACCTTATAAGCTTTTGCTTTGACACCATATTTTTCGGCTATTTCTCGCGCTGTCGTCACAGCCAAATCGAAATTAATGTCACATATTGCGACATGGCATCCCCTGGCGGCCAATTGTATGGCTATGTGTTTACCCAGCCCACTTGCTGAACCAGTGACCTAAATATATTTAAATTTACTATAAATAGAGTGTTCAATTAGTAGTATTTTGTGAATTATACCGGACAGTGTACCTTAAATTTTGTCACGAAGTTTGTAACACC